TTTTCTTTTACTGCTCTTCCACTCTTTTCCCAGGAAGTAGTAACTGGATACCAATCTTTACCACTAGCAGATTATTACTTCCCTCAAACTAGGTAGGCTGTGCTGGGTGACATATTTAGATAGAATTGAGGCTCTACCCATCCATGAACCCATCAACTGAAGCTGCCCAACTCCATGGCGGAGTAGGCACATGTGAGAGAATACCAGGCATCTGGCCATGCTTCCTCTCAATACAGAAATGGGGAAAAGCCATGTAGGAATATGAAGGGAACTTTTTTCCTCATCATGCCCTTGTTCAGCCATGTGGCAAGGCCACTCTTGGCACTAATCATTTGTTGAGAATAAACAGTGCCTTTTATAATGTGAAGAAGAAACAGAGGACGAGGACTATCACCTCAAGAAATTTAAAATCTAAGGCCCCAAAGATTTCTCCACATGTATAACTTTATACACAAGGACAGTCCCATTGAGATCACTGGGGTTGTTCACTTGTGTTAAATATATGCATATGCAGAAGGGCTCTGAGGATTAGCACCTAACCAGGTGAATAAAGTGAGGCACACATAACATTTTACTGACAGTAGTACCATCAGTAGGTGAGTCAGAAATGTTATTTTATTTAAATATTGTTTTTGTTAAGTGATTAAGACTAGTGAGTTTTACAAGAAATCTGTAGAAAACATGAGTTTTAATGCTGGATCATACTAAGTTAGTTATGGATCTCATTCTACCATTAGAGACAAAGAATGTGGCAAAATGACCTGAGAGCAACAAACCCAAAGGAAAACTGAACTGAATGTGAGATATTGTGCAAAAAGAGGAAAAAAGAGTAAAGAAAAAAATATACTCCCCTCCCCACAATGATGATATTCATAAGACATACATGGTAGAATCTAGAAATCAATAAAAACAATGAGGAGTCCTGTGGCACATTTGACTAATACAAATACATATACAAGTTGAACCTCTCTAGTCCAGAACTCTCTGGTCCAGTAACATCCATCTCCGGAATTATTTTAGTTAGCAGATGTCCACTTATCATAGATGTGGCCAAGTTTACTATGGTCCCATAAAGTTTGTTTATAGCCAGCAGTCCTAGCTTTGTGTTCTGTGCTGTTAATTTAGTTCTAATTTACCCCTAAACGTCCTCCAACAGCCCAATAAGCAGCAGTGGAAGTGTTTCTAAGGCTGCTAGAAAATATGAGC